GACTGATCAGCCCATTCAGAAAAAATGTTGAGCTATAGAATTTCCCGACAATATGCATGTGTGATTTCCTTCTATTGTAATAAATTCTAAGATGCTAGCTAAAAGAATACATGGAAAGTGAACTGGGAAGGTTAGACAAAAACAAAAGAAAGATAACTTTTGTTTTGCTCAAATCCTACCCGACCCCAACTATCTTGTGAGTGAACCTTGCTCAACTTTTGAAACCTGCCTCATCCTTTACCCTGAGGAAACTTTCCTGTCCCCTTTTCCTTTTACGTAAAGTAGATTATTCTGTTTTTGGATTTCCTATTTCACTATGTTACACAACATATTATTTTCGTTTTTAGTTTGTTTTATATTTATGAGAGTTTTCCCCGCATGTATATCTGTGTACCACATTCATGCCTAGAGCCTGTAGAGGTGAGAGGCGTGTGTTGGAAACCCTGAAATGGGCATCATAGGCAGTTGTAAGCTTCCATGTGGATGCTGGGAACTGAATCCAGGTATTCTGCAAGAGCAAGTGCTCTTAACTACCAAGTATTTTCTCTCTTCTTTAATGAATTAAGTCACCAAGGCAAGGGCTAGATACTACTTGAGTCTTCATCAGCACCAAGTGCATGTAAAGATTTAATTTATCTAGATATTTTTTAAATGTTAGAAAATAAAACAGTCTAATTTCTTGAAGAGGAGAATGGCCTATGTTGATATTATTGAGTAATGAAGATGATGTGTGGCAACTTCTGGATAAAAGTGGAGAGTGGAATCTATTGTAGATATCAACTCAGAACCCCTTCCTTTTGAGAGGTATGTGACCCAATGAAGTAGAAATTTGAGTGCACTTCATTTATCACATCTAGCTATTTTCTCAGCACTTAATTTAGTTAACTATTTACAGTGTAGACATTTGCCCAAAGCACCATGCTGAGTACTATGGCAGTAAAAGGAAAAGATTCAGATCTGAGCAGCTGCTATTAAATCATTCCTACATGAATTGCCCCAAGCACTGAACTCACATCATTTCCATTGATGTCAGGGTGAAGTCCCATTGCAAATAATTTCCTGTTAACAAGGGAACATGTACTCACTTGTCCAAGTCTGGCTCTTCCATTTTTGCTGTTGCTTTATACACCTGGCATTTTATTCATGCCTTTCTGCTGCTGAGTTTCATTTTATTTTCTGGACAGTTGTGTATATCTTTCTTGTCTAAAAATAAGATCTGTAGCTCAAATCTGGTTCATTATCAGTTTTTAAAAATGCAATTGGATCGGAGCATAGTTATGCACATTGCTGTATGGATTCTTTATAATTATTTCTGCAACACATATCTCATGGCCCACAAAACACAAAACATTTATTGCCCTGCCATTTACAGAGAAAGCTTGCTGGCTTCTATTTTACCGCTTAACAGATCTTTAAAGGAAGTACTTATACTTTACTCATCGAGCTTCAACTAGGTTGAAGAAATCAATAAATGTTTGAGTTTATTGTACATTGGACACTATTTTAGCTATTTATGACACAGCCTCCAAAGAGAAAAAAAATATCTGGTCCTATGCAGCACTGTCTAATGCTAGAGACAGTAAAGGGACACATCATAAAATAAAGTAATGGAATATGTTAACAATAGATATATAGAGAACAACAGACTGAGATAAAGCAAGAAGAATTTTTACAATGGGTGGGTAGTTATGGTGGTGGTAGGGAAATTAGTTTTATGTGGGTTCATATAAGGTTACTATTGAGCTCAGAGTCACATGGATTCTAAAGGCTGAGTGGGAGATGGGATACATTTGGCACCTCTGTGGAGTGACAAGGAAGCCATGTGCCCTGAGCCGAACAAGAAAGGAGTAGCGTGGGAGGAAATGAGCTCACTGTCTGAGTCTGTTTTCTATTGCTGGTTTGATTGTGGTGAATTTCCCTTTGACTGACATGGGAAGCCCCTGGAGGGAAGAACAGAAGAGAGGTAGAATCTGTTGTGTTTTGACAGGTTCTCTAGCTTGTAAATGGGAAATTGTCTATAAGAAGAAGGGCAAGAGTGAGAAGAAGCCATGAAAACATTTAGAAAGGTCTTGTGATAGACCAGGTATGAGATGATGGTGGCTTGGCTCATGCTAATACAGATGGAGTGATGACAGCACAAGTTTCTCTTTTTGGTCCAGCTTAATTAGTGTCTAGCATAAAGTATCCTTCTCTTGAATAGGTAAACAAATTATCACCATTTCCATTGGGATGAATAATGGAATCACCCCTGGAAATTCCCGTGTTACCTCTATGGGATAGATTCTGACACTTCCCCTAAAAACATATTTATCACGCAATAGTTTGCTTTCAGTCTGACTTATTTCACTTGCCATAATGTCCTCTGGCTACATGCACTTTGCCACAAATGACAGAATTCCATTTTTATGACCAAATAGTATTTCACTGTGTGTATGTACTGCATTTGCTTATCTACTCATCAGTTTATGAACACTTAGGTTGTTTCCATAGCATGGCTACTGTGAATAATTTTACAGCAAACAAGGGAATGCAAATGTATCTCTAATATACTCATTTTACTTCTGGATCATATGGCAGTTCTATTTTCAGATTTAATAAATTAAAAATTAAAAATCAATTTATGTATTTGTGTTCCATGTACATCGGTGTGTATGTGCATATTCACATGTATGTAGGCACGTTAATGTGTGTGACCATATGGGACCCTGTGTTTATGTTGGGACTCTCCCTTGATTGCTGGGAAGGTCGTTTAGATTAACCCAGAGTTCAAGGCCTAGTCTGGCTAACCATCTTGCTCTTGGACATTGATTCTCTGTCTCCTCCTCCCATGCACTGGGATTCTAGGTGGCTTCCATGCCCACCTGGTGTTTTTGTGAGTTCTGGGCATCTAAACACCATTATTTGTGTTGCATGATAGATGCTTTAACCATTCCCACTTTCAGTTTTTTTTTTTTTTAAGATTTTCCACACTATTTGTTTTTTTTTTTTTAAATGTATTGGCTTATACTACTGCATGGGATGGAATAATATATAATATAGTATAAGTATACATGCTACATTTATGCTATATACCATCTAAATGTGAGCAAATATTATATATGTGTAAATAAAAATTAAATGAAAATAATTTAGCTGTGCATGATGGGTGGTGTGCTTCTGTGACAGTGGTTGGTTCTGATGATCCCAACACTCAGGAGACAGAGGCAAGAATACTGCAAGTTTACAGACAGCCTGTGATACAGAGCAAGACCCTGTCTCAAAAACTAAAACAGGAACATATTTAAATAAATAAACAACATAAACATTAACAATAATCATCACAGAATAGAGAGTAGAAAAAGGCCTACAATTTCCTTTTTGTTTTTATGATTCCAATAGAAAAGGAGAAGACATTTGACATGGAGATAATTAATTCTTTATCCACAATTAAAGTCTTGCTTAATATGCAAAACCTTTCACTTTCTTCTGAGCCATCTACAGAAACAATGGATGGGCCCAAGTGAGGTTGGTGAAGTTTTTTTTTTATAAGAGCAACCTTTAGCTTTACATTACAGTCTGTGGAAAGATGAGTAAGCACCAGTATTTCAAATGGCAGCTATTCCTTTATTAGGCAGTATATATGAGAGACTGGTCACAGGTTCTTCCTGGACTACTAGTTTGCTCTTCTAATATTTAACAGGCCCAGGACATTCTTTATACTCTTTACTGATCTTCTACCAAAGCAGTGCATACTTTTCCTATTTCACATGGATGCTAATTCTGAAAAGGTCAGATGATTAAAAAATCCCTGCATTTTGCAAAGATGCAAAGGTGTGAATACAAATGACTGATTGTCAGAATCACTAAACACAGCTTTGGAAGTGAAGTCTTCCCATAAAGCCAGCTGAGAATTTTCTTCCCTTGTGCGTGCTTTGAACCTCCTGACCTGGTAAACTGCACTGTTCTCCCACAGCCTGCAGTGGGCTACAGCTAATATACCAGGCAACATTCTATAGCCTTCTACTAATGGCCTTGAAAAGGAGAAAGTTCAAAGAGGCTTAGTTCCCAGGCCTGCTAATGAGCATGAGGCCTCTTCACCCTAATGAACTGGTGCTTGTGTGGGATTCTTTGCCTTCCCTTTTTCAAGGGACTGGGGCCAGGAGTTCACAAAAGCAGTGAGGTATTTATGGGAAGGGGTGCATTCAGCTGGGCCACCCGAAGGTGGCCTGTAGGGGAGCAACAAAGCTGGCAGAGGTCATGCCTGGGCCAGCAGGGCTGTGAGTATGAGACAAGACCTCCTGCCAGCCAGGCCTGTTACTGGCAATAGTGACAAGCCTAAGATAAGATATTTTAGGTCAAGTGAGGCTGCACAGGGTTCCTCAGCAGCCTTTGCATAGTCTTTCCAAATTGTTTTCTAAACTGTAATTATCATTGTTAGAACGTATCAAATGTATGGAAAATTAAGTCCTGAATTTAAACATTATTTCTACTGAAATGCATACTTAATGCTCATATCTAGAGTGAATATGTCTATACAGTTGAAAATCCTGACTTGCTATTGTAAACTGATAGTCTTTAAAATGGATATACGTTAATATGTAAGTTTACAAATTCAAATTTGTGGATGAGCTGTTCATTAGCAGGAGTTTCTTCATTTTAATTTTAACCAAAGGTAAAACTTTGCTGTGACATAAAATTATTCGCTCATACACCAATTATGGAAATTATAGTTTCAATTACTTTTCATGTTGGAGTTAGATCATTTAAAAGGCAAAACTGTGAAGACCATTAAAACAATAAACAGTAAAAATGAAAGCTGTCACTTTCAACAATCAGAACTTTGAGAAAATGCCAGGCTCATATTTTTGTTTTTGTTTTCATTTGCTCCCAGTAAAGAAAGGCATTTGGAACATACACTTATTTTCCCTTAGATGTTTGGAATTATTCTGAGATGCATTCAAAGCTGACAGCCCTCCTGGCTGACCCCTCATGCTTAATCCAATCTTACGTTCTGTTTCCAGATAGCTGATCAGCTTCCTTGGATTTTGCTGATGACCTCGGAGAGTTTCGCCTGAAGATGGAAACACTGGAGTCGGAGCTGACCTGTCCTATTTGTCTGGAGCTCTTTGAGGACCCTCTCCTGCTTCCCTGCGCACATAGCCTCTGTTTCAACTGCGCCCACCGCATCCTGGTCTCTCACTGTGCCACAAACGAGTCTGTGGAGTCCATCAGCGCCTTCCAGTGCCCCACCTGCCGGCATGTCATCACGCTCAGCCAGCGAGGTCTAGACGGGCTCAAGCGTAACGTCACTCTACAGAACATCATTGACAGGTTTCAGAAAGCATCTGTGAGCGGGCCCAATTCCCCTAGTGAGACCCGCAGGGAGCGGGCCTTTGACGCCAACACCATGTCCTCTGCTGAGAAGGTTCTCTGCCAGTTCTGTGACCAGGATCCTGCCCAGGATGCTGTGAAGACCTGTGTCACTTGTGAAGTGTCCTACTGCGATGAGTGCCTGAAAGCCACTCACCCGAACAAGAAGCCCTTTACAGGCCATCGTCTGATTGAGCCAATCCCGGACTCGCACATCCGGGGGCTGATGTGCCTGGAGCACGAGGATGAGAAGGTGAATATGTACTGTGTGACCGATGACCAGTTAATCTGTGCCTTGTGTAAACTGGTTGGGCGGCACCGCGATCATCAGGTGGCAGCCTTGAGTGAGCGCTATGACAAATTGAAGGTTAGTCTGATCCGCCTTAAGCCAACCCCTTTCTGCCAGCAAATGTCATGAAAATAAGAAGTGTAAAGTGTATTCACTGCTAGCTACATGGCGGGTGAAGGTTTTCTCTTCACCTTTGTTGTCTGATTAGTTGTAGCATGTTTTTGGCAGCCTATAAATGTTACACAATGAGGGTATCTTGTAAAAGTTGACTGCTGCTTGTAATTTTAGTGTTGTCAAGGTGAGGGCAAATTCTAAAAATCTGGATCATTTTCAACCCTTGCTGTTTGTCTGGATCTTTTTCAATGTCTGCAGTTCTTGCAAAGAGAGGGCAGATAGAAAAAGATGGAGGAGGGAAAAGAGAGATGGGGGGGTAAGATAAAAGTCTATGTTGTGTGTATTTATGCAAATGTATTTTCTTCACTCGTCCAGGAAAACTAATTTACTCACATTGTACCTTTATCTAGTTACTACACAAATAAAGACCAGAAGGAAAAATGTCTGTAGCAAATGAGGGACTTTAGAGGACATTTGACCTTGTGTAAAGGATATATGGCTTGCAGGTGAACTATCATGTCCTGGCAGTCTCAAGTTTCAGGAGAGCATTCCTGTCAGTGTAGCCTTCTTGTTATTCAGTGGCTTTACAGGCAGGGCTTTCTGAACTTTACTCACTTCTGGTATGAAATTATCCAAATTCCAGCTTGGAGGATAGTAATTAATATGGTTACAAGTTAACTTTAAAAAAAATCACTCTCAAAATAAGGTTAGAAAGCATCAGGGAAGAAATAAAAAACCCATCTCCTGTTGTCTGTTGTCTATTCAACTTCAGTTGGTGGTAGGCCTAATTACTGCAAACTCAGCTGAGAGAGTTCAAGTGAAGTATTATGTTCATTGACTAATTTTAGATCACAAGACACTAATTAAAAGGAAAGGAAGTATAATTTAAAAGCGCTAAGTAAATATATGCCTAAGTCCTTCCTCTCAGGAAAAACATAGCAACTTGTTGAGTAAACAAAATGAATCAGATGATCCAAAGAGTATTATTGCTCAGAGACTATCATCACCTTTAACAAATGGTTCCTATTCCTTCTCCTGATGCTAATGAGTGGTTGTATTTACTTGGGCTACATAGTTGATTTTGCAATGATAAGTACTAAAGAACCAGATTTTGATTTCTTGACACACTGAGGCAAGTTGACATGTTAAAGTGAATCCCTGCCTCTAAATGTCACCGGCGAAACAAAAGTAGTACCTGCACAGCAGGCCTCACTTCAAGTGTCCAATGAGTGAGTGGCTGTAATCCATCTTTTCACCATGTATAGGAAGTTTGCCACAAGAATTTAGGTAACACAGGCAGGAGATGATAGACACCCATTCAATTCTACTGCATTGCTCAGCGGTAGCAGACAAAAGTATCACTAAAGTGGATAACAGGGAAAGGAATGTGCATTAAATTATGACTAAGTCAGTCTTTCAAAATCCCAGATGGCTGTCAGTTTTAAAATCTAAGATGATCGTGATCGTGTTTTACCCTTTCTTGTCCTTAGGAGGTAAAGAATTTCAGGATGATTGAATAGAGATCTTTGATCTCCCCTTCTTTCTTGTCCTTTATCAAGAAAATATTCTTTTGATTAGATTAAGGATTGTTTGTTAGAACAATATAATCATAATGAGGTTGCATATTCAACAACTTCCAGGCTTGCTATTTACATTCAGTAATCAAGTTCTGCACATTTTCTGTGTGCTGTCACAGAAAAGTTGTTAATTATTTATGTTTCATCTTCAAATTTATGAGGAGTTATTTCAATATAGCCCTTTCTGTAATGAAAATGCAAATCTTTAGTCTACTGTATTTGTCTAATCCAGCCAATGAATAGGGAGGGCCTGGTAATTAATCATGCTGTACATTTTATTTCCTAATTACAGAAATATAGGCATATAAACAACATCCAGTGCATGGAAACATATGTGCAGCTGTTCAACAAAATATGTTTAAGAGCAATTATTTACAGCTACTTAATGAAATGTGTTTTTAATCATTTGTATGGATAACATACCAACAGGTCATGTTTGTTAAAAACATGCCATTCATATCAAAATAAAATATCAAACATTTATACAACATTTGGGAGGTGATGAGATTTCACTCATCACAGACTGATGAACACATCTACTTTCTTGTTTTGCCTACTACAATATAAATACTGATTTTTTAAAAAAAGAATTAATAGCATAATGAATAGACTGAAATCAAGGTATTGTGTGTTTTTATTAATTATTACAGTGGTCTGGAAAAGAAAATGGTACACCGTAGGATTTCATATTGATATATATTTGTGCTGATGTGATTGTGAAGAATAATTGTTTCTTTTGATAACATAAAATTTTAGGAGATTTTTAACGATACATATTTCAGTATAAAAATGTGTGGTTCTGTGGAGAAATGAAATATAGCTGTGCATGGTTGTGCATGCCTTTAAATCCAACATTTGTGAGTCAGAGTTAGGTGGATGTCTATGATTTTAAAGCCTGCCTGGTTTTCATAGTGAGTTTCAGGCCAGTCAAGGCTATATATTGAGACACTATCTTAAAAAAAAAACAAAATGACTCCAGATATTAAACATAGCTATGTACACTGACACATTTACCTGGAGCATAAAAGATAAAATGACACAGCATTTCAGCATGTAGAATTCATGTGTGTAAAATCTTCCACATCTCTGTAATAAGACTCTGTCTCAGAACCAAGAAAAAGTTAAAAAATATTTTCCACATCATCTGAAAGCATCATGTCAGTAATCTGCTGCTTTCAGGGACTATGCATGAGCAATACTCATGAAATCTTGAAGCAATGAGAAAATTAAAATCACATGTCCTGAACTCTTCTTGTCAGATGCAGTCTCTAAATGAGGCACATCAAAACATGGGCATTTTAAAACATCATTTTAATTGAATCTTAAGAAGCCCTGCAGTACTACAAACTCTGGCTAAAGACTCTATTTGTGAACCATATAACTGCCATGTAAGGGAGTTTAATAATGCATTCTAGAGTTTCCAAGAAACTACAGAGTAGTGACTCCTCTCTTACTGTGCTCACATATCATACGGGATCTCTTGTTTCTTTACTCTAGTTGTGCCTATAAAAATATACCAAAAGAGAAAAATTGACCTTTCATTGTCCTTCACTCACTCCTTCAAACAAGCTAAAACTGAAGTTCAAGGACTGCGTTTGCTATGCTTGCTTTAAAGGCTGGCAGTGGCTGTTTCTTCATGCTTTCTACAGACCAACCCACCAAGATTTTCAAATTGTTCCTCCCAAAGTTCCAGTAAAGCTCAAATTTATTTGTGTATCACTTTGCATATGGAGGCAGAGATAGGAGATTTTACTCTTAGGTTTAATTATTTTTTGAGATGGGGTCACACTGTGTAGCCTTGACTTGTATGATACTCATTATATAGACCAGGTTGGCCTTGAATTCTCAGCAGTCCCCCTGCCTCAGCAGTATAAGAGTGTACTATCATGATCAGATGAGGTTCTATAGTTTTGAAAATCTTTCGCAATTTACAGTAATGGTGTGAGAGGATACTGAGCCTGATATTGTTTTCCTTTTTCTTAGAATTTTGGTAATGTGTTTCTACTATAAAAATAAAAATATGGCTGGACCTGGTGGCATAAGCCTATAATCCTAGTTACTCTAGAGGTGGAGGCAAGAAGATAGTAAGAGTTCAGGGCCAGCTGGGGCAACATAATGTGTGACATACTCTTTTGAAATAAGAACTAAAAGAAACGACTGGAGCTACTGTTGAGTGGGGGAGAACTTGCCTAAAATGTGAGATGCTCTGGACTCAAATGCTGGTACCACCAAAAATCCTAATGGTATATAATGCAGGCCTGTGTGTGTGTTTGTGTTTGTGTTTGTGTGTGTGTTTGTGTGATATACACACACATTGTATATCTGTATGCATACATGCATTCACTTATTTTAATATTAAAATCTTCCTAATTCTCAATTATATGTAGGTAAATTGTTGTTTCCATTATTTCCTTTAAGACAGACAATCAATAGCAACAACTGTAACAATGTTAAATGTGTTCCTAGAATCTTAATAGTTTAGCTATTCTCCTATTACCTTAAATATTTTAACTATATCTTGAATGGTGGATGAATGGAAGTAATTCCTACATTTTGTGGAGTATTGAAGTTCCAAAGACAGGCATGCATACACACACACACACACACACACACACACACACACGTTAAATGTATATTGCATATTGTCTTATTCATATACACAGCATTGCTTATTAAACATTAGAATGTTTGTTCATTGTCTCTTAAATTTCCTATAGTCTCAACAATTTGTCTATTCTGCTTAATCAATCAAGCAGTGACCAAGAGAAGTACATTGAAGCTTTCCACTGAAGAGAGTGAACTTCTTATGTTCTTTTCATACTAGTGCCATTTTTCTTGTTTCAAGACTTTTGATGCTACGTTATTAATACTATGAAAGATTATAGACCTTTTGAGACTTAATGCATAATTAAATTAATACACGTTTATTAAGTGAAGGTAATATGTACAGAAACAATTACCATGTTCATGGAGCTAGCAGACTAGTAGGGAAATCTAACAGCCAAACATTTTCTTTGCTACAAGTGGAGGAAGTCATTCTATATGCAAAGCAAGGACATTGTCTCAGAGATGGAGAAATTCTGCCCAGAAAAAAAAATCTCTACATACCCCTTCCAAGTTTAGCATTAGAAAATAATGTCACATTCAATGAAACTCCTCCTATCCATAATATAAATTTGACTTTTTATCACATATTATATGCTCTTTGTAATCCTATGCAGGTATATTAAGCAGTTCACAAATATTTTAATTATATTTGAATTTAAAATACATACAAGTTGTATGATGATTTGCCACATGGCATTTTAAAAAGTGAGCCATGTATTTTCTAAAATGTTTAGGGTGTGTGTGTGGGGGGGTGTCTCAACAGTTCCATCTGTCTCTATC